CATATTTTGGTTTTATATCTTTTTACACAACGTAAAGATCAGCATTCAACGATCGATATTCTGGCGTAAATAAATATTAGAGTAAGTCAAAACACACATAAATACATAAAGTATCACACATCGAATATAAAGGGAGAGGACCGTAAACAAAGCTTCTAGCAAAGTTGAGACAACTTTTACTTTTTGTCTCAATTTTTGTCTCCTAAAAGCTTACGTTTCTGTTATTTTTTCTTTAATGGTCGTCTACAATATGGAGTATACACATATAAGTTTGATATAAGAAAGTAACCTAATGTACTTTCTGTGTAAGGAAGCTATAAAAGTATTGGCGTAAGCGAAATAAATTAGTTTTATTTCTTATTTCACCCCTTACGCTCAACTCGCACAATAAGATTGTTAGCTATAAATAAAATAAAAATTATTACAATTGTATACTTTTATTTCTTACACCAGACTTACTCCATGTATTGTAATCGAGTACTTACATTTGATTTACACTCCGATTTATGATTAAAGTTTGGAGCGTTTGTGGAGCGAAAATTAAAAATAAGTCGATTCTGCCGATTTTTATTTTCCTCAGAGTGTTCAAAACTAAGATTATAAATCTGCATTTTCGTAGCCCATTTTTTTAATTAGGACCGTCTTAAGATATCATGAGCTGAATTAGCATAAATATATATTTATCTTAAAACAGTACTTAAGATAAAAATATTTGAAACGACTACATGCACGAGTAAAATTATAAAGATGTAAAAATGCTTAATGTGTATTTTCTCACAAAATTAATTTTTATTGTTTATTACTTAAGACGATCTTAAAATAAGAACTGATCCAGCGTTTTTTCCAGATGAGTCGGACTTACTTCGCACTCTTGGCAGAGACGCGTCGACAAAATGGCAGGATCAACGGATCAACAGACAACTCCGTCGTTCATGTTTCGCAGTGACGATCCATGTGACGAGCGGCAAGAGCCACGTGATGGCGCGAAACGGCCGCTTCGCGTGTTCCGGCGAGACCGACACCGGCCGGCACGTCGAACGGGAAATGCACCCTGATCGTTATCACTCCTTGATACAACCGACGTTCTGCTGCGCATTCGAATTCATTGCGTTTCTTCTGCCTCCGAGAGTCGCGGCGAGAGTCTTACGCCAACAATTAGTTCCGATACATGTCGTCGGTCATATCTGCAAAGATTTCGCAAAATGATTAAGTTGATAAAAAAAACACGGATCGCTTTAGCGCTTTAACTTTATAATTTTATCTAATATGGCGTCGATCGAGTTCGTAAGAATAACAGATTGCGATATATCATTCAATAAGAGTAAATAAAAGAGTGTTCTAAAACGTAATTAAGTTCATCTCACTACCAGAGAAACTACATTCCAGAACGTCCTTTCTGAGAAAAATTTTACTCGATTTAATGTAGTGTACGTTATGTGTACTATATATTTCGAGTAAAATTTTCCTCGGAGAGAACGTTGTGAAATTATATATAGTTATGTTTTGGAACGCATCTCAGGTAGAGGAGTTATTTTCGTTACGATCAAATTCAAATTACCGAAGTATCGATTCCGGTAAATAAAGCGAATGAGATCTTAATAAGATTTATTGAGATATTCGAAGGACTTGATGAGAGATTTTCGTATTTCTCGTTCGAGATCGAATGTTCGCTAACGAAAGATAAATTCACATTAATGCACGGGGTTTATTGTTAAATGCGGCTACATTCAAGCTAATTAATGTATTCAATTTTATTTTTACGTCAATAAATCGCGCGGAAAAAGATGCAATGAAATTTTTACCGTGTCTTCCATTATCGTCCTCCAGCAATCATCAAGATTCCCGATTCTTATCTTCGTTTATCAGTTATTCACCACCTGTCGAAAGCGGTCTGTTTTTCCTGTAAATCGGAATCGCGCCTCGAGAAATGGCGTTGATCGGCAGCTATCTTAACTCAACAGCACCGCGATACGACGACAAGTGAATTAAAAACCGGAGGACGGATTAATTCGCGGGTGAATCAACCGGGATCAGTCGTACCATCGTCCGATAGATCGCGGACGGGAAACCCGGACACGAATGCGAACGCGACGGACCGCGGATCACGACTGCGAGGAACGAGGAACTCGTTCGCGCTCCGCGAACGCGCGCGCGGAACTGCGCCGCGCATGTACGCGCGTCGTACGGCATGAAGTTTGCCCAATCTCTAGGGGAACCGAGAAATTCCGCTCGATTATGTCTACCGCGCTTGTCTTGAAAATTACTCATTTCTCTCGCGACGATTGAATTGAATTATTTCAAGAAATGGTATATTAGGTAGTGCGCTTACAAAAACATTACGAAGACACATCTAGAGATTATTTCTTTCATTAATCCACGCTATCCAAATCAACAACGATTTTTTCATTGTTTTTAATTGATTTCTTCATTGTAATTGAGTTCAGATTTTAAATCCCCCACCAAAAACATATTGAATATGTTGATAGAAACTTTATATAGAAATATATCTTTTTAACTTAATTGTATTAACTTGCAAAAATACAGTAAATGCAAAAAGTATTCTTATAAAGAAAATTTGTATTTAAAAAGTCTTATTAAGACTCTTATAAATTTAAAAAGTTTTATTATAAACTCTAGTATCAAAATAACGTCTTAATCATATCTTTGACGTTAATAAGATGTCATTAAAACTTCATCTTGCTTGCTCAAGGAAAATTTAAATGGTATAATATACAAAATATTTTGGCAATATTTTTTTATAAGTTCTTGAATATATCCGGGTTTGCCTTCACAATCGGATTGAATATTTTCGTCATATCGGATTTGTGACAGATCTCGTATTGCAGTTACGGTGAATGAAAAAGAGAAAAACAAACGGATGTGTTCAAAACAGGTCGCGTTTCCATGCTCGAAAAATCACGTAAAATTATATCGCGCGTGGATTTATGGCACGAAGAGTTTCTGAACACCACATGGCGCAATGTGGCAATAACAATATTTCTTGCATGCAAAATAACTCATCAACAACATGTTGCAAATGAAAATCATAAGTATTCCTTCTCAAAATTTCATATTAATTTAAATGGAATTTCACGACGCAATTTCAGACTAATTGATCTTTAAAACCAATAACACTGAAGATATTTTTAATGATTTGAAAATAAAGAATAGAATTAATACTTTGTTAAAATATATTGTACACATAATATTATTTTTTAATAAAATGAATGATTATAAAAAATTAATAGATAAATAAATAACGTGTTCGTGTTATTTTTAAAATAAATTTTTAAAAATAATTACCCAGTATAATAAAATTAAGAATCATTGATTATATTTAAGCAATCAAATATGTACGTATTCATTGAATGAAATTCTACGAAAAAAATATTTTATGAGATTAAATAGATTTATCTTTTTAGTAATACGATTACTAATATTAGTGTCATTCTTTTTTTAGCGCGAGTTTAATTCAATAAATCAATAGATCGTTAACGAATTACGGAAGGAAATGTCTGCCTGTCATTCACGAGAACGGAAAATTTTCGATCACTCATTCGTAAGCAACGAACCAAGATACCGTCATCGGACGAAGTGGACAATCATTGAGAGTTATGGTAATGAATGACCTAATTTCGAAAGAACAAAAGGACCATTCTCGTTTTGTTAGGACAATATGCTTGGTTGTATCAGAACCGTTCAAAAAGATGGGTCTTTGAAGACTATCGATTCCTTGATATCCATCCTTTGCGCAAATAGGAATTAGATACTAGTTTCAATTAGCATTGGCATTAAAACAATTTTTACGTCATTAGATAAACAATTATAAATTACTTGTATAAATAAATTATTCATGTTCTGATTTTTCTACAACATAATAATTTATTAATAACGTCTATACTAAAATAAAATAATCATTAATCTTAGTTGTATAAAGGGTCTCACATTAACAATACTCGAACTCTACAAAATTTATATTCAATTTTGATACTCCAGCTGTAGCAGCGTGAGCCTGACAACAATAACGGTGCGCATTGTATTACCTCACTAAAATAGAAAAGCACCCTTAAAGAGAATTTAAAGATGCGAAGAGAGAATTTAAAGATTCCAAGCTATAACGCGTGTCAAAACATGATTTTTTTAAAAAGCTATTATCATATCTTAAAGTCAAGTATATATTAATTGATGAAACGCGATGGATCAATTTGTTTATTTATAAGTAGACAAGAGAAAAATCCACTCAGCGAAAGTTCATCAATTTAAATGATAGAACTCCAAATTGCCTCGCTTAAGATTAATATTAATTAATTGTTAATATTTTAATATTTTAATATGTTAATATTTTCTTTAAAACAATATGATTCACGCAGAAAAAATAAAGATTCAAGTTAACTTTCCAATAACTTTCCAATAATTTACTTACGTATATTTGACAGCAGAGCGTGACTTCGGTAACGTGTATCTCATTACACAAGTGCTGCCGAGTCTGAAGGTACGATAATCTGATTTCATTGTATGGGATGGAGCAATAGTCCGGCATTCGGAGTTGCGGGAACGGAGTAAAGTGGATAATCTAATTTGAAGGACAAAAGAGGGTTACAATCACATAGCAAGGAGTGCCCTCGAGGTATCTTGAAAAGACCATGCCCTGCATCTCGATGAGCTATTTTGATGCATAAACATACAAATGAAAATATAGGAAATACGGAAACATGAAGAAATGTTATGTGAACGTCGATTATAAAATATATATATAGTGTATTTTTTTCAATTATCGTCATATACAAAAAGTTAAAATTTATTTTCCTACTCATAAAATATTTGTTCATATACATATCCGAAACGAATCATACGTATGCATTTTCATTATGTATACATTTACAAAACAAAAATGTTTCATATTTGTAATATACAACAATATACACAAATATATTTATATATTATATATACATAAGATAGTAATTATATTTACAGAAATTCATCTCAACAAAGTCATACTTTCCAATTATCGCAGTATCGTTAACTATACCTACGTTAACTACGTCAGTCTATAGTTCATCATCGTCGCAAAATTCGATCTCGTGATATGTTTCAGCTATCCAACCAAGGAGGTACTTGACTTTCTCTGTCGCTTCGTCATTGGCTTTGTAACCCTCAATAGCCTCGGACAGGCACTTCGATAAAAGTTTTAACAAAGGCTGTGGATAATAAAATCGATGTTAACAATAGATATACGATCAATCAGGAATAAAGCAACTCGATACTAAAGGTCACTGAAAATATTTTGTGAAAATATTCCGTCCAATTACATGTATATACTACATATTCTTATTTTTTATCTTTACTTTTTTATCATTAATTAACTTATTTATTATTAAAAAAATCTTTTAATTTTATATTATTTTTTTTAATACTAAAATTACAGAAAGCAATACATAAATATTTTTAGTTCCATTATTTTATCTCAAATAATTCGAATTATATCGCATTTAAACTTACCACAGGCCAGTCTTGTCTAAATAAAGCTACACATTGATCGCTAAGACTATCTCCATCAAGTATCTTTGTTTCTAATAATCTTTTTAGAAATTTGCCAAAAATTGGCCACAAAGCGTCGTTTTGTGGTTGCATTAATAACATAATATTTCTAGAACACAGTATTCTACGCATAGGCGAATCATCTTCGTCATTTCTTAAATTGTTCGACAACCATACTTTAATCAATTTGTCCTGGACTTCTCGTGTAAAGAGATCCATTCTATATGCCACTAAAAATGTAAAATATAATTATAATTTTATCACACTCTTGAGATTTCAGTATTATTAAACATACCTAAAAATAGCGCAAAATCTATACTGAGATAACACAAAACTTTCTGTGGTCCTGGTAATAAATCATCTCTTTGATTGAATGATTGATACAGTTTATCTAAAGTACTCAATACAGACGAAATAGTCAAATCTATACCATTATTATCCAACATATGCCATATTAATCCCTAAACAAAAAAACAAATAGAAATTTATATCTAAATATTAATAGTTTAAAGTCATTAATTTTAGAAACAATAAAAATTAATATTTTGGTTTTAAAAATTATACATCTAACGCGTCAATGTATCCGAATTTTAATTATTAAATTATCATTAAATTCTTTATTTATCAAGTTATTAATTTATCAAGTTTATGTTATTATATTCTTACTCGAAGTTCGTCCATCATAGTAGTAGGATTAGGAGCATCCATATTGTGATATTTTTCCTGTTTGGAATGCACAGGACTATTGTTTCGAAAGAACCTGTTAATCTCAAGTTCCATATCCTTTATAAACAAGGAATCGCCGGCAATATGCGACTGAATCCACTGATTTATTCGTTCCATCGCTATTCTAGTCGCAATCTTGATGCACATTTCCTTGACTGCCGTTAAAGAATCTTCTGCTAATAAAGATTCTATCGATGCCGCGACTCGCGTTTCGCAAATTGCTGGAATTGTTTTCTCACATTGATCCTTCAATTCTCTCGACGCGTTGTTGGCCAATGTATTCATGTCGCTCGCAAGTAAAACCTAAACACCAAATTACGATTAAACTTCCTTTTTCATGTAACATAAAATTTTCTTTACAATCGCAAGATATTACCTTAAATTCGTTGAAGTAATTTTTTGACAGTTCACTCTGTTCATCGGAGTCTTTCTCAATATGCTTGTGTTTCAGAATTTTTCTGAAAGAATTTAAGTTTGCTTCTCGCGATGAAGTCAATAAAGTATTACACATATGCTTCACGCAAGTTGACGCGACTCTTTCGGAAACAAAATCAACAGTCTTCCGAGTAGAAGCTGGTTGACCATGGAAAAAGGCTTCCTCCAATTGTAACTGCCATAACAAAAATTTATTAAGTATATAGTAACATAAAGCAATATTAAAAATATAAATATATGAATAAATATATGAATATTGAATAAAAAAATACCTCCAAGTGTTTTGCACGAGTAGTGCCTCCTAATCTACGTAGTTGACTAGTAACAGGTGTAATATGTTTATTAGAATTGATATTCAAATTCGTTCCGTTTCCGTGAAACAAAGAGAATGTCGATTCCATTCGCGAACAGCACATACGCATCGTTCGATCAGTAATTATATCTAATTTATCGAGACTACTTTTAACAGGAATCACACAATCGACGGAATGTGAATTTTTTCTCTTTTCGAAAAATTTTTCCATCTGTTTGAGACTCTTTAGTTCCTTGATTTTACAAGTCTTTTGCCAAACAATATAGAAATCTCTGGGAAAGTTTGATAGCTCAAACAACCAACATAGGCTGGATTTGAGCAGCACAGCCGATTGTTGAGAAATAAGACAATCAGGGGCAGTAAGATCGGTCTGATTTATAGCATGATAAATATAATACAATAGTTCCAAGATCTGCTTATAATATGGCAGCCGAAGCGATACAATATCCATCATAGCTAGATATTTAACTATCCAAGGGATCGTTAGTGACAGTTTGCCCTCGATTATGGCGTTCTGAAGACAAGCTTGTAAATTTAATGATGGTAATACCTATAATAAAACAATTGAAAAGATTTGAAAAGAATTTGATAAGTAACTTTTAACATTTGAATTTTTATGTCACATACCTTACTTCTTATCTCTATTTGTGTCATTATAATCTCTTTAGTAGTATTTGATTCAGACCTATATGGCAATGATACTAAAAGGCCTAATACTTTTGCAAGAAGCCTCAAGCTGGCTAAACAAGTAATAAAATTCTGTTGCGTTTGATCATCAACCATTGTTTCTGCAAAATGAAAAATCCAGAAAAAAAAGTAGTTTTCCTAAAATTTAAATAGAATATAACAGTCATGAAATCATTAAAATAATAAAAACTGTACCTGAGTCTTCTATTTCACTATTAGCAAACTGAGTATCATTCAATTCCATTATTTCATGTACAAAACAATTCTCCAAATGTGTATAAAATATTGGATTAAATGCATGCAATATAAAATCTTTAAAAAATTCTTGCATGCCAGGAAATGAAGGACCAACACTTTGACTCTGCGATGGTAAAGGAGTCACAAATCTCTTACTGAGTTGCGTCAATTTTTCAGGATTAACATGTTTTAAAGCTTTCAAGAAATTCAAGCTCTCGTCATCCACTACATCATCCTACAATTGATAATAACACGATTGCTTCGTTATTAAGAAATTCTTTTCATAATGATATAATAAAGCATGTTTAATAGTCTTGAGCTTACCTGATGTCTATTCTGTATACATGATATTAACAATTGCGATTTAAATAACCTAGCAATGTGATAATAGTTACTACAGTCATTGTGCATCGCCAACATGCTTCTTATCTTGCCACCCAGTGCAATTTGAAACACCCATCCTGGCACCAAATGATTTTCCTCCCAAATTCTAAGTATATCATAAAAAGCGTCTCTTTGCTTCTTAAAAGTATGGAACGAAATGGTAGACGAGAAATTTTCGCGATTGTCAGTGTCAATTTGAAAAGACACGTTTATCTCCCCCATGGTACACGTCAATTTTTGCGGGCTATAAATATTTAAATATTATATAAGTATTTAAATATTATTATATTAAGTAATGAAAAATCATGAAAAAATATTCATACAAGTAATTCGTGTTAAATTATAATCTCTTTGCTGATCGAATCTCTCGTTCCATTTAATTAAACATTTTGACATATTTATTTTTTCAGGCCACAATTTTGAAGGTTAAATTTTTGGAACATTTGGAGAAATTCGAAAGAGAGTATTATCTAGGAACACGAGATTTTAATTAGACAGAGATTATACAATCAATGTTATTGTACAATCTTCAATCGCAAAGTGCACATTTTTCAATGTAGAGATTGTATTTTCAAACATATGGATACGTATCACCGCATTCTAATCTATCTCGCTTTATAAGCTTTGTAACCGTAACCGGGTTGGCCAAATTAGGTTAGGTTAATTAACAGACAACCATAGCTTTTTAACAGAGGAACGTGCCTGCATTTTAGACGGCATCACTAAACTCCAGTAGCGCCATCTGAACAAATCCCGAACTACATAGAATATTTCCAGCAAATAACACATTATATTTTTGATTCTATTCCGTGCTAAGTATGTTCACCTACTCTATAATTGCGTGAAGTGCTCTGACGATTGGAGGAATTGTTACGAGGCATCGCTGTTACTATCGATACCCGCTCGGACAAGCAGATCAGTATATCGATATCCTCGTGTGTCGCTATTCCCGAGAATCCCGAGGGAGAAGAAAAAGAACAGGAGTGAGCAGTCGATGACGCTGATGACGCTGTGTCGTGAATCGTGCGAACGCAAAATATAACCTCTCTGGCACATAAGATGCGCCAGCTTTTGTCGGTCCAGTCAGAGACACCACTATTTCAAGAAACCTGATCTCGCCTGGCTGCGTGCCTCACACGCGTTTGTGCGTCCCACGATCAAACAATTTCGTCTCCACGATCCTCATCGGCCGCTCATCATGAAAGTGATCGTGAAGAAGCTGCAAGGAAAAGAGTGCGTCGTTGACGTGAGTACGGCATGGCTGTCGCGCCGCTCCCTCATTTTCTCGCGAAAGTATCCACGACTTCCTCTCGTGATCTGAATTCTATCGCAGACCAATACTAAAAATCACGGAGCCCAGATAACGATTGTCGTTACCTTCAATGAATTTACGCGCTCGAACGTCTGTTAAAGCGAAAAATTAAGGTTATAATCCGCCTTTCAAACGAGCATCCTTCTGACGTCAACAATTTTTTTTTCTCCAAACATCTCAAGAATGTTTTCGTAGAAATTACTCTCATGTCATTATATTGTGTCGTATGATTTTAGATATTGCCGTCAGAGACAGTGTTGGAGTTAAAGCACAAAGTAAGCGATCTCTTGGGCATCGATGTACCACAGCAAAGATTATTACTCACTGGCAAGACTTTAGCGGGTAAGAATACTCGTCTTAGAAGCTTTTCATGTGGTGGCACAAATATTCTTTATTTGTTTCTCATCAAGAAATATTAAGAAAAATAGAATGACGTTTATACAGACTCGTGTCACTAAATGGAAAATATTTTTCATTTAGCATTGTATATCGTAATGATTTCTTGTTACAAATATTTTATTTAATCTTCAGATGAAAATCCGCTAAGTTTTTATCCGGGGATCAAAGATGGCAGTAAGTTAAATCTTTTGGTGATCAAGAAAGCAGAGGAAGGCTCCAGCGAAGCGAGATCTTTGCCCCAACAGAAAGCCGGTATCCATCTGCTGAGAGAAGAGGTCTCACGGGTACTTAGGCATTATTATACAGTATCCGAGACAGAGTCCATAGTCAATGAGTTGATAAAGGACTTGAAAAATAAAGTGAATAATCTTAGTTATGATGATCTAGAGAGACTAGCCACTGCGTTACTCCAGGACCAAGAGAACGTAGCTTAAGGATTATTCAAGATTATCCAATTTTCGCTTACCAATTGATTATTGTAATACGAGTTTATTTAATTGAAGCATTGCCTTATATATCGAGTCCTTTAATAATTGGTATTGTGTATTGTAATTTAAAGCGCGATCATACTGACTAAGCAAGACTTGAAACTTAATGTACTATTTACTACGTTTGGAATCTAAGGATAATCTTATGTGAAGTTTATTAAAAATCTCTGTATGTACACAGACATATATCATGTCGCGTCATAAATAATTGTATGCACAATAGGAAATTGTTAAGGATCTGCCAAGTCTAATTGACGAAAGTATCTCGCTACTAGACAGATGAATAAGTTCAGCGCTCCCAACTCCTGCGCGTCCAATTCTCTCTAAAAAAAAAACACAAAAAAGAAATAGCGAGATCGTAAAGATAGCGTTAGTAAATTCTGACGTGAACTTTTGTAGATATTAACAAGACCACGAGTTAGTTTAGGCATAGAAGAAAAGTTCAGTCTCTTATTTTCTCAATCTTTTGTAACCCGACAAACGCGAGTTTTTATTATCGCCTGAACCTTTTTCTAATATCGGGAATGACATAGCAACAGCGTAAGTAGAGGAAACAGGAAGTTATATGCAATAAAAATGTTTTGTTAATAGAAATTCAGTGTTTCCTTTTTGTTCCTTTTTCTTTCCTCCTTTTTTAGATCACCTGCTAACAATAAATTCTAACTGAACTTTTCTTTGTAAAATTTACAAATTGATGCTTTAGAACCTAAAGAATCAATATGTTCTGTTTTTATTATATAGCATTTGTTATTCTTAAAAAAGAATCATACTTTTTCTATGCCTTTAGGATCAAATATAACTATATATAAGTATTATATTTTTATAATAAATTTTTTTTTATATTAAATAAATGACATAACATTAAGAAAAAAATATTTGAATTTTTTCTTTTCTTAAAAGGCATATCTTTCATAGCTTATCGAGATATTCAATCTTGAAATTTTTACATAATTGCTCTTTTTGTGAGAAATGAGTATTGTATGAATCGAAAAGCAATCAATTAAACTTATTGATCTTTTTCTCTTTTCGTTTTTTGAGGTACAGAACGATATTGGTTAATTTAGGCTGGATTTGGGGAGATGCTATTTGTGTCATTCTATCTTCCATTAAATGTGAAGGATAGTATGACACAAAGCGTTGATAATTAATTATAAGATGTTATGATACTGAATTAGCTTAATCAAATAATGAATATTACAATATCGGCACGAATGACGGAACATGCTCGAGCCAATGAGCGCAGGCAGGAACAAGTATCAGGCTGCAATGGTTGCTCCAAAATCACAAGTAACGTATAGATCCATTGGCCTATTTTGTATTCAACTTTTCTTTCAGTTTCCACAAGTTGTACCAGATATTCTAGTACCTGTTCTACATCAGACTGACTAAAGCAAAACAAAGTATTCAGAGTTGGTTCGATTTTTTCTTCGCCATTTAAACAGAAGCTGATCCAAGCATTCTGATCATCTATGTCTGGCTGCAATAGCGAAGAAGAACTAATATAACTCATAATTTCCTCAAGTTTTAGATAAGATTTTATAAGACTTGTATATACCAAATGAATGTCAGGTGGTTTCCACTTGCGCTTGCCTATTAGTATCTCATCTTTCAATTGGCTGACATATAATCTTAACTTGGAAAAGTCTGCAACCTGATATTGTTGCCATTCCACAGTTGGCTTGAGGCTTGCTGGTGCTTGAACGCATCCTGCTAACTTTTATAGTCATATTCATTCCATGATTGCAAGATTTATGGCAATTTACAGGAATTAACTTACAGTCTCCACATAGGCTTTTGTAGGCTCCTTCACACATGAGGGATCTAAATTAGCCACCACTACATCCGCGCATTGTCTGGCTTCTATTCTGCAATAAAACAGAACATGATGTGCATGTGCTTGAAATTATAAAATTCAAGAAAATGAAAAAAAAAGTAGCTGAGAAAAAAATGCCAACTTACACCACTCGTTTGATGTACTCTTCTCCGGAAGAAGGTGGCAATGATAGATTAATATCTTCGTTTATTTCTCCCACCACAAATACTGGTTTTTTTAAGTAATCCATCAGAATTCAAATAATTATTCAATTTAATTAATTCAAAAATTGAAGAAATTACATTTATTCAACGCATTTTTGTCTGAAGCGAAGAAATATGACAGACAAAAGAACATCGCTCTTCCTCGCGGAACGAAATATTAATCGTAGAAGTTAGTAGAAGTTTTAAGTTTGTCATTGAGGTTAAGAAACCTGATATATTGTCAACATGATAAACTACGCATACGTAAAGCCCATTCTACAAAGGCAGTAGCAATAGTGAATTAAAGAGTAGGCGTATAAATCGACTAATCATAGTTAATTATCTTTCTCACATTCGACTATGATTGGTTGATTTCTACGCCTACTCCTTAATCCATTACTGCTACTGTTGTAGAATGGGCTTTAGGGATACTACATAGCCACGCACTGACGATAAAATCGCGATGAAAATAAATATGGTGCGAGTCCGTGCTAAATCGCGATGTTGAAAATGTATATATTAAAAAAATATATATATAGGTGCGAGTGTTAGATGCGAGTAGGTTTGAGAAGTTTCGTCACGAAATTTATTTCACTTCTAAATTTTAATAATATAATGCCATTTCAAACGACAAAACGTTCTTGATTATTATAAAAATCGCTATTGTTTTATCATTTTTTAAATATTATACTTATATGTTCTTCTCTCTATTTCTCTTCTTTCGCTTATTCTTTATTAATTAATTTTATTTTGTTCAACGCATTAAAAAATAATAATACAGTAAACCAACTAATTATAACTCAAAATATATGTACTGATTATTTTCAGTCGATATAAAAGATCAATTATAACTAGAATGCAAAGCATCTTCGATACGTTGCGGTGATATTATTATATACATTTCACTACATGAAGTTATACAGTAAAATTTATTATAATTATGAAACGATTAATATAAAAAAATGCAATAAGTTATAGACTTACGACATTAATTATAAACATTAATAGACAAAAAATGGAACACAGGAATAAAGCATGATAAATAATGTACGAATATATATCTATTATTAAATGATTTATGTTTCTATTTCTAATTAATTAATTACAATTTTAATTGTGCATCAATTATCACTCTGCATTTATATTTGCCATTTATCCTTTTTAATATAAAAAGATACACTTCGTACATTATACATGTAACTCTCATAGCAATATTAAATCGCGTTAATTTAAGCAACAATTTTAAGATAAAAAACACTGTATTCTTTCAACGTCGCCGTATTCGGATAAATCCTCGATAGAGTTGTCCGATGTGGAGCTACTAGAATTATTATTATCATCATCGACATAGATGTCGTTAGTATCATCTTCGTCTCGATTTGAACTTGATTCGTGTGGGTCCGCACAAAAATGCTAGAAGAAATATAATAGTGTGTGTATAGTCAATTTCATCTCTCTCTCTCCCTCCTTCCTCCTCCCTCCCCCCTCCTCTCTCTCTGACAGATAATGTCTCCTTAGAGCTCAGTCAAATAATTAGAAGAAGAAATTGTTATTTTCCTTCTTATTTCTTGCGTGGGATTTGTGAAAAAAAGGAAACGTATGAATCACATCAATGCAATTAGTCTACTGCATTCTATTGTATTGCTTTCATCAAGAATGATATCAAAAATTTTCATTGTCTTTAAATAACATGTAGACTTAAGATAACAAGAAAAATAGAAGAAATTATATAAAAAGATAATTTTTACATACATACATTCCCTAATGACCGCATTACCGAAAGTTCTCCTTTCGAAGGCACCCACAGTTTAATGTTGTCATCATATCCGCTTGTCGCAAGAATGGGAATATGCGGATGAGCCTCCAAGCAAGTTACCTATAAATTAAATTTAGAAAAAAATCGCTAGTTTTTGTTTATACTATAAATAAGAAAAAAAATTATTTATATTAAATTTATGAAATAGAAACTTACGGATTCTCTATCTCCTGTCATATATTGTATGACAGATGCCGAATTTTTTTCCCAAATAAATATATTATTAGTGGATCCAGATACAACATAGTCGCTTTTAGGTCCGAAAAAATTACCTTCATATACTGTAATCAACCAACAAAAGACATGAGTAATTAATTAAATATTAATAAATCAGAATTATTTAAAGCATCGCTTTTCTCAACTATACTAACAAATTCTAAAAGAGATACTTCTATAGAAAGATATTTTAAAAGAAATCTCTTATTAGCAACACATACATAAAAATTAATTAAAAAGTATACCATATTATCGAATCCTGTTTTTTCATATTATATCACAGTTTTTTCTCTTTAAACGCGCATAAAGAAAAATGTTTAAGAATTAAAAAGATTCATAGTAATCGTGAGTAAAAAAATAATGTAATTGTGAAATAATGTAATTGCATTTTATGTAACCTACTCGATGATCTATACACATTCTGATACATATGGGCGTAATCTCCATGTAATGATGTTATTAATCTATTAAATAGGAATAAATCCTTGTTATTATATGAAGCAAGAATTTCTGTTCCGTTATAATTATACATAGCAGATGTTACATATGCATGTTTATTATTTTCCTAAAATATTTATATTATGTAAGTAAACAAATATGTAATAACAAATTATATTGCTTTCATTATAAATTTTTTTAGTAATAGACTTAATACAAGACGTACTACATAATTAGGCCATAGTTTATAAAGCGGTTTTGAAACTTTTCGCCGATCGTAACCTATGACACAGTAAGATTGACCAGCGACGCAAAATTCATTACTATTTGAAGGATTAGAATCTATACTATATAATACTAAATTTTTTTCTACTATAAGTAACCTATGAACAAAAAAAAATTATATATGTTACAGAGGATTTATTATAAAAAAAGTTATTATAAAAAAAGTATTATAATAAAGAAAAATAAAAAAAAAACTTTTATCATATAATTGAAACCCAAGATATATG